AAGTTTGTTGATATAATTCATGATCTTGTTGAAAATTGTATGGATTTCATAACTTGTCCTCAAGTTATGAATTTTCAAGAATTTTATGTTTCCTTGATTTATGAGTTAGTTTAGATTGATAATGAAAAAAATTATGTTTTAGTTTTTCAATCCATATTAGTCTAAAAGAAGTTCATAAAATATGTTTTGTAACTTGTCTTCAAGTTATGTGAAAAGTCATATTTATAAATCTTAAAAACTCACAAAAGTTTTGTAGGTTACATAAAATGTAAGAGTTTTTTCCATTAAATAATCTAATGACTCCATAACTTGTCCTCAAGTTATGGATATTGAAGAGACACTTCTTTAAAGTGTTTTTAAAGAATAAGGGGTTACATTAAAATGAAGAGTCTTCATTTTAATGAACCATTAAACTCATAAGTTATGATTTAAAGAGTCTTGAAATAGTTTCAAAACTTGCCCTCAAGTTTTGGAATTTGAAAAGTTACTCCTCATGTATAGTTTAATTCCAATTGAACATTGAATTTTTAAAAGTTAAAATTCAACCTTATACTATTATTATAATTTTAATTATATAGATATGTATAAGAGGAAGTCAATCTTACCGTTAGTAGGCCTCATTCACGAAGCCGGTCTATAAGGGGGGTATAAGGTTGTTGCCTATAAAATGGTGACTTAATGGGTGTCCACTCTCACCCACCGCTTCCTTGATCGGTGGAGGGTCGTTAGCCGAACGGGTAGGATACGACTTTAAATATTCATTAAAAGTATAATGAACGATACTAAGTAACTAAACACTTATAAATTCCTAATCTTAGTTACTTAGGAAAATGTGAAAAGGTGCTAGCCCATAAAATTACACTTTGTACCTTACCAAGTCGTAAGTGGAGCGTGCGTGGTTAACCGGCACACTAACATGGACTAGTAAGAGTGGCTAAGGGTAACTTGACTTTATTATAGATCGGTGGAGTGCGTGTGGTTAACCGACACATCGATTAGGTAATATTGTTAAGGGTACCAAGTCAATTTGTATGGTTATTCACACCTTGTTTGTGATCCTCGGCATCCCAGTCACAAATTTGAAAGGGCACAATCGAGATTGGAACATGCCATTGAAAAGTTCGATGTATCTCAAAAGATCTAGGAGTTTTAAAACCAATAAAACCTAATAATAAAATATTTCGGTTTCATGGTGGAAATTGGTAAATCGTCATTTGTCTACCTTTAACTATTTTATAACTTGGATTACGGCATCCCTCTTCCAGTTATAAATAGGTTATTGGGTCCTAGCCTTAATACTTCAATTAGGTGTTGTATTAAGGACATTAAATCAACTAACTTGAATTTCTCCCATTATAGATGTTTAGTTTAGACAGCTATGGTCTTCCCAAATCTTTAGCAACAAGCTTCCTAATGAAGATGATATCCCAAATGGTAATGAAGGTGAAAGATTAATCCCTTTGTTGGGCATTAGTGGGACCAGAAGTCATACTTCACTTAATCCACCTCCTCCAATAAATCTCCCTATCCCACAAGTTTTAAGACTTGATAAATTCTAAGTCACTCAATCCCTATTGGCAAGAAAAGTTTATATGTGCTTAGATCTTAGGGATTAAGCCACATATTGACAAGTCGGGAGAGTCGGGTGTCGAAGTCTCGAGGTAGCTGGCTGCTGACTTGGTTCTTCAGTCACTCCCTGATGAAAGGTCGCGAAAGGATCCTTAATGATCTTACCTATTTGACTGATGATGCTAAATCAGCAATGATTTGGAGCATTAGTAAAGCAAATTGGATTGGAAGATCTACTTTCCAAACCTACTTGGACATTGAAAATGGTGACATTGGAGGTCCAGGAAAAACTTTCTCTTCCCAATGGAAAGGGATCGGCCATAGTCAACTCGGTTGACCAAATGGTAAAGAGAAAGGTTAAGTCTGTGATAGTTCCATGTACGTTTCCAAAGAGTCCATATGATTCTGTTGCCAAAGGAAAGATTTTGGTCGCGAAGCTGCTAAATTTACCTGAAACATCTTAAGGATGGTAAAGTCAATTGGTTTGATTCTACTTCAGGTAAAGTCCATTGTCTAACTCTATTAAGTTTCTATTCTGAGATTCTTATTGCATAATGTGACGAGGTCACATCTTGATGTTTTAAGAACCAAAGAAAAGGTGAAGAAACTTAAAAGAAGTATATGCTGATTCTGATTGCGAAGATGGATTTCGATCGCATGGTTCGGTGATCAGAAGTTTGAGTTATTACTTAAGAGTTATGATATATTGCTTAGGAATAGATAACAAGTTTTCCATATGGATTGTAAGGATAAATGTTTCCGCAAAGTTTTAAAATAAATGAAAATGGTTTTGATTTTATTTATTTTAAGTATCCTTACAATGGCATTTGTGAAAATTGTTGGTTATATGTTTCCATTGATAAGCAATATGGGTAAATGGATTTGATTCTTTCATTAGTGGAAGTGTCATAATTCACCAAATAAGGAAAGATTCTCATCACCCAAGTTTCAGTTGGATAGAAACTTGGAATCATGCAAGTTGTATTGTGTGATGAATGAGAATTTTCATCTTTGGTAAATTAAGACTAATTCCTTGTTCACATTCGCATGTGATTCAAGTGAAGGACTAAAGGATTGGGTACACTTGGTTGTGTGCTGGTCAGGTCCACCACAAAGGTTGATAAGAATATTCATTATGATTTACTAAATTTTAGTAAATATGGTTATACTTACAAGTTGAAGTATAGTTATGGATCATTGAAAAGTTTCAATGATAAACATAATAAGTAACAAGAATCAAATAAGGTAGAAAGATAAAAGTTTCTCTAATATGAAGAGATGGGAGAGTACTTGAGTATCTTGTTTTATAATTATCTTAGTGATTATGAAACCATGTCACAATTGATCCTCTGAGGACACTTTAGTTCATTTTGTTTGACAAAGGAGAGGAATCGTGAATTGTTGAAATGGTTAGATCAAAAGATAAATTATACTTCGTTC